AAAGAGTGCAGGATTGCATAGTCTTACCTGTGGGTGAAACCACCACAGATGCTCTTAAAAATTCCTTCTGCCTTACTTTCTAGAAGTTTCTGAGATCTAAGGGGATTTTGATTTTTTTTGGTTTTGCTTTTTTTCTTGCATTAATAAATCTGAAACTAAGAGAAGTTTAGTCTCTTCCCCTATTACATGGCATTTTTTCCAAAGATCATGACTTAAGCTTAACTGTCTTTAGTGTTGTATATCATCTCAGATATGCCTTCAAGTACCTGGCTGTAACTCCATGCAGGCACGCTTAGTTGTTTATTACCAAGGAAAACAATACAAAGAAAGAGAAATAAATTAATTTTCCAGGATGTCTGTCTCCTAACAGCTGACTTAGAACAACTCTTGGACTTAAAATTAGGCATATGTTCAGATGTCAACCTGAGGTGAGGCTTACATTTCCATTCTGACAAAATGTGTCTGTCGTTGCCTGTGTTGGTAATTTCCTGACTTTGTCAAGCAAATACCAAACTAAACTGGGGATACGGAAAACAAGACAGACACTCTCTGTAATTTTTTTACAGAAATGTAACCTTCTCTCTCATTACTAATTCCACTACCTTGAAAACAGAGAGGATTAAATGGGCCTCTAGTGCTTCTGATCAAGCCCAGAAGTGAATAAACCTGACCTCCTCTATTACCCATTTAAGCCTGGCCGTACCAACTCCGATGAGTTTCCCTTAGTATTGCCCTTGGTTTTTAAATCATATAGCTTTCTGACAACATCAGTAATAAATGGCATGTTAATGTGCCAAAGTGCCCTGACAAAAATGTGACAAAATGAATATAAACTACTTATATTCTTCAAATCACACTGCCTCATTTAGGAGTTAATTAGGTAGAACAGAGCAAAGCACTGAAAAGCAAGCATGAAATGCAGCAATTCAAGATTTCTACCAAGCAAATTTGCAACCTTTCAGTTATTAGTAAAAATCCTTTAAAATCAAATAATAATTAGTCCTAGGCATATTTCATATGCATTAAATACTATTAATAAGTGGGATTATTATATATCATAGATCATTGCATTTAAATATTAAAGATACTGCAGTATACTCAGAAGAGCAGAGTTACGACTAACCAGATGTTGCTCTGATTATATAAAGCCCTAATTTTATAAAGCACTAACTTTTGGAATTAAGTTCCAAGTCAGGAAGATATGCAGAGTTTGGAAGACTGCTAAATACTAAATTCTAAGAACATTAGCTTTCTATTCTGAGTCTACACTGACAGACAGAAAAAAAGTACAAGATGCCTGGATTCCAAAAACAAATCAAATTGCTGGGAAGACAGTATTCTTGTGATAATCCTACAAACCATTATCAATTATAAGAATAACATTTAAATAGAATAGCCTATCTCCAGAGTTTTCTCATTTCTCAGTATTTTCATTTGCACAAACACATGTAGACCTATGATTTTGCTTCAAGCACCACATCACATCTTACAGAGTTCAACAATTACTCATTCAAGTGTGCAATGCAAGCAAACAGGCCTGTAGTGTCTCTCATTTGTTCCTCAGATCTAATTCTTAGCTCTGAGTTCCCTGCTGTACTTTTCATTAATCTTACTCCATTGTGCTAGTAAAAGCTTTGAGAATATAAGTCAGAGCACAATCTTCCCCCAAGACACATGAATAATTCCAAACAAAGACTAATAGTCTAAGAAAGGCCACAACCGTAAAGGAATGTTAATTCCAGTGAGAACAGATTCTGCACTGTCATTAACTTTGATATGGATTGTTCTTCCTTCCATCAAGGGCTGAATTCAGAAAGCTGGATTTTACCTGGTCAAAATCCAGTCCTAACACAGCATTTACTGTTTGCTCCCAAAATAAATAAGTATAGAAACACTTTGATTTCAAACAACAGTAACAAATACTTTTCGAGAAACAGACTACTGCGCACCCTTGTTATTTTCTTTAGCAATCTCTGAAATCCCTAGTGAAAGGGGATTTTGCTATGTGACCTGCACATTTAGGACTGGCCACTAGTTTTAAAGATTGAGGATGTATCTTCAGACTCTGGGTTCTGAAGCCGAAAATAACCCCAAGTATGTGGAACCTCATGCCTGCAAGAACCCTTGAGTTCAGTGGGGTTCTCTTCAAAAGGCTGTGAAAGACCATGACAGACTTTTCTTTAAACTTTCCAGCTATGGAAATACTTTTGCATGGGCCTAATTCTATTAAATTCCTCTTTTTTTAGAAATAACTTTAATGGGAGTTAAACATGCGCTATGCATGAAGGAATAGCTCAAGCTTTACGCCTAGCTTCTTTAACTGCTAAAGGGGAGTATAAATCTGTTACAGAATGATATTTCATCAGGGACAGAGAACTGCTAATCACCTCTTTCTAGAAAAAGGAAAAAGAAGTTTACACCAAAACAATCACGAGTCTATAGCTACAGGACCTACTATCTGCAGATTAACCCATAAACGTGGTCTTAAAAAAACAAACACTTTCACTTACAACTTATGGTGATGCCAAGTTCCACATTATGCTTCTTTGGTAGTTTTACATGAAATGTTCCACTGCTTGGTATAACTGATTCTATAAAAAAATATTTACAATGTTAGATAATTTAAAAGGCACAGCAATTCCAAGCGCATGGAACTATATGTGTAAATTAATGAAATCACATCAGCATCACAAGCCACAGATGAAACACAGGTGCTGAAGTGAAGGAAGGAAGACATACAAAGTATGATTTATACCTCTATTGGTAATTTCACAGTAACTTTTTTTTTTTAAGGTTTAACTGTATTTAGGGAGACTGTGTGGGCCAGCAGCCAGCTGAGACTGCAATTTTTTAGCTTGCATGCAATTTCTGTGAGGACATACAAAAATTTTAGTGCTGGCAGGTAAGTTTTAATTAAAAGGACAGGAAATCAAATCTTAAGGATTTCATGCCTTTGTTGCTCTAGGTCTAACACATTTTTAACTGTCCACTAAGGTAACTGCCAAGAATTTTACATCTACTGGGAAGAAAAGGAATCGAAACATCACTAATGGAGAAGTGTCTGGAGCTGACCGAGGCAAAAAACACTGGAACACACAGCACTGTATTTGAATCCTGACATTTGGCATTACTGCTAGCAAAAGTTTGGACCTTGGCCTGAAAAGGATAGACTGAAATTACAGCAATGGAAACATATAAACACATATGGCAGAGAAGTCTAACCACGAGTATGAGTCTGTTGTCAAGGAGCAAATGGGAGGAGCACAAACAAGTCCATGGACTGAAATACATGTGACTTCAGGTGTCTTTAAATTACTTTCTCATTATTTGGTTTTCTTATTTTTTAATATGCCATTTTCTATGTATATGAATGTACATACTGCATTTGGCTCTTTTTTTTAACAGTATACTAGACGTGCATACTAAAAGATCATACAGAATTACTCTAGGAACCTTCTGCCTGCTTTTGTCATCATGATTTATAATACCATTAACAATAATTACACTATGCAAAATACAGCACATCCGACATTGTCACAACTTCAAAGGAGGTATTGTCAGACAAACATAGAAGTCTTAGAAGTTCTAACTATTTACATAGTGGGGTAGTGCATGTACATAATGTGTACTACTTTGATTTACACAATTTGTGATTTTATAGGTGTATTCTGTATGCTTAAACACATTACAGAAGAAAGAAAAGCCATTAGTAATAATAAAGACTCACTAGCAACATTAACAATGATTCTTCTGGCTTTTACGAATTCAATTTCTATTATTTTATTTAGATTGTTGGTTTGAGATACTGCAAGTAAAACTCTTTGGAGTTTTATGCTTATCCACCCTTTTGTAATACTTTTCTGTCTAGTAAAATAATATAAGTATTTTTAATTAGCTGGTCTATAGAGGATTTGTCTCAGCTCAGCAGAGTATTTCTGTCTCAGGGCAGAAAAATATCAGGAAATAAGTCAGAGGAAGAACTGTCACCAGATCCTAGTACAGGACTTGTCATTTCTATTTGTGCTCTGAAGCGCGCTGCAGGGCTACGTGAAATGAGAAAGCCGTACAAAAAGACACATGTTTCAAGTAGGTTACTTGAAAACTGAATGGAGTATGTGAGAAGAAAGTCTCCACCTTGCATGCCCAGCACTTGCAATATATTTTGGATTTATTCCTCCACTTTTTTTGCAAGACAGAATAACAGTACATTCATACCTGCAACATCAAATTCTATTTCCAAAGTGACCTTGTTGGTCATAGAGGAGTCTCTGAGCAGTTGATTGGCCTCATCAAATGTGCTGTCTTCTGTTGGGATACCATTTATTGCCACTATTCTGTCTCCTATTTGCAACACGCCGCACCTTGGTACACAATGATACAAAACAATCATCAGATGTGCACGTTACCAGAACCAGCAATATCAAACACATTCAACCTAACCTTGAAGGAGAAGTGTGGCACAGTAGCTCAACAGTCTACCCAGGCATAGGGTGGGACAGAAGCTGCTGCTGCCCCTTTGCATGAAGACACTATCAAGCACTTCCAGCATGGGTCATGCTCTCTACATGCTGTGACCCAGGGAGAGTGGGACAGCCTTCATGCCTCCATCCTGCCTGTGGACATCACCTCTGACTCGGCTACAAGTGTTGTAGGTCTGCAATGACAGCTAATAGTTGCTTGTGCAACTACTATTGTTCTCATGCCATGATTAAAGACATACCTACGCATAAAAATGCAATTTAAATGCTACAACATAATAATTAGTACGTCAAAACTCTGGTAATCCCTAAGATTTGGTTCTGTACCTAAACTGAACAGAGCTGAATATGGCCTCCCCTCATGGCACACTGATTTATTACTATTTTGACTTCAGCAATGTTTTGGATTTTTTTTTTTTTTTCTGTTTGCATGAATATAGCTTCCAGTCTCCTGTTGGAGGACTCTGAATGATAAAAACACTGCTGCTTGTCGTTCTTCTTATAGCTGATCTTCTTATAGCTGAAATATCATTGTCAGAACAGACAGCTTATTACTTGCCACACTTCCATTGAGCAAGGCCCTGCAATTTATCACAAACTGAAAGCAACAAACCCAAAGTACCCTGAGGAATGCTCACCAAAATGTACTTAGCAGTCATCTGAAAGAACCTCACCTTTCTGCTGGGCTGTCAGACTCAATATAGGAAATGAGAGGCGGAGAAGACAAGGTCTCAGTAGCGAACACGCTACCCTGGAGCTGTATCCCAAACCCTACTATGGGGTCAGCTGTCAGCACTACTTCCGTGGTTTCTGTGTGGACGACCTGCCCAGCCAAACCAACAGTACTAGAGGCTAAAGACACTATAAAACAGAGCAGATCAGGAGGAGAGACATTCATACACAGAAGAAATTTCATTGCTTTTTGAGAAAACTGATCTGTACAATAAACCTAGTCAATGTAACATCTCTTTTAAAGTCAATTTAGGTTAAAGTTTATAAATTCTGTATAAACAATTATGACGTATAAGAGAATAGAAAGCATCTGTTTGTATGTCAGAATGCAAAAAGACAGTTCTTGTACTGAGTAGAATAAATGTGTTTGACAACCCCACCCCAAAATCTCAGAACATCCTTGAATTCTGTTTGCATTAGGTTTGAGGCATGGACGAGCAGAATCTCCACAAGAGCTAAGCGAATTGGAGGTGCAAGCCCAGTTGTTATTTAGGCTGATTCCCACAGGCTCTCTTAAACATCTCACAGCAATACAATGTTGTTAGTAACAAAGCACATGGCCCAGGCTTCCCTGCAAGAAATAAGGATGCCTTCCTCTTGTACATGTTCACTACATCAGCAATTTGTTGAGCTAACCAGCTAGTGTAAGTAAGTTGAACAAACCCTTCTGTTTTAGCAACCAGTATATCTCAAGAGATTGTGAGACAGAAAGTTCCTTGGGGTCTCTCAAAGGAAGCTCAGGCACCCTTCTGAGAAAAACACAGGCACTCCTGACTTACTCCCTCTCACTGTTCTCACTCTTGTTCTGAAGAGGGTGCATTACAGAACAAATCAAGATAAAAACAACATTGAGATTCGATGCAACCTATGAAAGGAGGAGACTGCACCTTTGGTTCTTCGATCTCTCCCTAAAGGTCTATTGTATTATTGTTCAAATTCCTCCAGCTACAGACTACTGCTTTTCATTATGTCATACACAGAAAGCTAGAGTTTTTTCAATTCCTGTTCAGACCCTCAGAGTAACGGTATGGTACTATAGCAATAATCCTCCAATGCTAAGGATTCTGAATGTTTTCATGTTACAAATCTACACCATTACCTCTCCACCTCTAATTTCCTTCAAGACCCTTTTCTACCTGCAGTAGCTACTAAGAATTAGACAAAAGCTTATGGTTTATTTGAGGGATAGTTTAGTTCATGGTTTACCTGAGGGGATGTTTAACTGTGGGTTTTTTTTTCTTGTTTTTAGTTCTTTTTACATTAGAGGTAATATTAGCACACCTGTACAAAGATGTCAGATGTTGTATAAATTTTTTCCCACACTTTGGGGGTACAAGCATTAGACTTCTGCTCTGAAATAGTTAGTATAATTCATGTGACACAGTTGGCAACAACAGATCCGTTGCAAAAGTTTCACTTTTCAAAAAATTAATAAGTTTCTGTTTTCTCTCAGCAAAGCTCCTTTTAACTCTGAAAGGGCCTTTTCTAAATTACTGTGAATTCTCACTCATATCTTGTTTTCATTTTCCTTTGTAGGAATCGTGCATTATTTCAATTATTCAATAGCTTTCTTCATACTTTCTCTTTTATCTACACTGAGCAAGACACGCTCATACTCAAATGCAAATACTAATAATCTGTTCTTCGGAAAGGTCACCAGCTTTAGCATTTACTGCATGTGAGAAATAGGTTTCTCCAGCCCTCAGCACTGCAAAGGATAAAATATGACAAAACCAGATAAATTCAAAATCAATATAATACCGGATCCCCTAATGTACCTTCCAGAAACGTTTAAATTTAGGGCATTCAAGCTCAGAAAAGTTCCATTCTCTTTTTCTATAAGGTCATGATACAGGCCTATCAACTTGACCTCAGTGCCAGGGAAAGTGATGGAGCAGATCATCCTGAGAGCCATCACATGTCATGTGCAGGACAACCAGGGGACCAGGACCAGTCAACACAGGTTTAAGAAAGGCAGGTCTTGCCTGACTAACCTGATCTCCTTCTATGACAAGGTTACCCACTTAGCGGATGAGGGAAGGCCTGTGGATGTGCTGTACTTAAGACTTTAGTAAATCTTTCGACACTGTTTCCCACAGCTTTCTCCTGGAGAAACGGGCCACTCATGGCTTGGGTGGGTGTACTCTTCACTGGGTAAAGAACTGGCTGGATAGCCAGGCCCAGAGAGTTGTGGTGAACGGAGTTAAACCCAGTTGGTGGCTGGTCACTTCACCAGCGGTGTTCCCCAAGGATCAGTGTTGGGGTCAGTTCTGTTTAATA